AAGAATAAAAAAAAAAAAAAGTGTCTGCTCCCACGCCTGCCCGATCATGTGGGCTCAGGAAACTACAGGAAGGTGTCTGGAGGCTCCTGCAAACTCTGTGTCACATTGTAAATATATGTGTAGTGGGGTCTTTGGGTTTTTGCTTTTTTAATGAGTAGAATAAGGTAGTTATACTCAGTAATACCCATTCACCAAAAGGAAAGGGGTGGGGGTGTTAAATCATTGTGTTTTTTGATGAATGGCTTGTACGCTGAAAAATAAATTGGACAAACTGGCATAGAGCTCAGTGAACATGAAATCAGCTATTAGAAGAAAGCTTGTGAACAAATTCTGGGGCAGATATGCATCTTTTGATTAATGCCCTATCAATCATCCACACGGCTACCTTAGCGGAGTCTTGCTGTAATCATTCACAGTTGCTTTCGGAAACACGGGCAGAAACTATAGCACGGCAGAAACAGAATATTATTACTGATTTTTCCCTAACTTGCCATGAACAATGACTGTTTTCACCATGTTTCTGCTTGCCTTTATTACAGAACTACAATGCAGAATGAAAGGAGAGTTCCTCCAAGCTGGGTGAAATTCTCCGAGGGTATTCTTTAATGATATTCAGTCTTAAATGGGCAAGCTATTGTAACGCAAGGTTCTCTGTAGGAATAATAGTAATGTAATCCCATTGAAGCCGCCTTTCATGGATTGTAGTCAAATAGGCAAAACGTGGAGTCACGTTAATGAACAGAATATATCTTTGGAATTATTACTTAAAGTTGTTGAAGTGGTTTGAATTTTGTTATTGTAATTATTATTATATTCTCAGTTAATGCACTTACCAGCAATAGTAATTAACCCACCGGATTGGAAATTTGCATGAATTCTACCTTTGACATTACAAGAAACCCCGATTCTTGCTGGGTATTACACAGCAGGATGGAGGAAATATATATATATTTTTTTCACTGATTATTTTTAAGAAGGAAATGTTCATGAATGCAATTATAGTTTTTCATGCATTTTTAAGCCATTGGTAAATTCCTCGAGAACACTTCATTCTTTTAAGAGGATTTGATTCCTAAACCTTGCCGGCACAAAGAACGATTTGACACCGTCTACCGGTTGAGAAATCTTTAGGTAATAGTGCTTCCTGGAAACCCGCTGCAGGCTGGTCGGTACTGTGGCATAATGAAGTGGTGACAGGCATTAGCATGTATAATGGGCTTTCACAAACATTTAATGCTATTTAGCTGGGAGAGGGAGCCGTGCTCTCCTATTGGAATATTCCTCCACCGAAGCCCATTGATCACCGATTTCAGCCGGGAGAGGTTAATCCATCAGCTTCTGTAACCAGACGGCACTGATGGAAATTCTTGAGGTGGCATTCTGGATGAACCAAGCTTTCCATCTTTACAAACAAATGAGTGATATGACAAGCATGGTGTTCAAAACACATTTAACCAATTGATTTTCCTTCCTCTTGTAATAAGATCTGGAGACATATGAAAGCACGCAGCGTGAGCCGAGATTAAAGGAATTGCTCCATGCACGGAAACATACGGCCCTGAGAGCCAATAAAAGTACTATAAAGCATGTAGTCACCCATTCTCTTTTTTATATAAAGTTTGTTATTGCAATAAATAGCTGTTATTGAGCCGACGCCTTTTGTTTCCGTCGTGCTGAGCCTTATTTCAGGTCTGTGTGTCTGGGCGCAGGCACATGTGTGTCCTGGCTCAGTGGCTGCGTTTCTCTTGGAAGTGTCCAAGATGTTCATCGTCAACCGTTTTTACCTTCTGATTTCAATAGGGAGACCTGTCATTTGGGATGGTAGCACCAGGTGTAATGATGCAAACTTGGTGTGCTCGCAGTAATCTCTGCATTCGTGTAAACGAGAGCCTTCTACTCTTTCTTCCCCACCTGCAGCCCTGCCTTGAGCTTCACCTACCCTTCTGCACCCGTGTCTCTCCATATGCATCAACAAATCTTAAGCCGACAACAGAGCCTAGGCTCGGCCTTTGGACACAGCCCTCCACTCATCCACCCTGCTCCAACGTTTCCAACACAGAGGCCTATTCCTGGGATCCCCACGGTTCTGAACCCCGTCCAGGTCAGCTCGGGCCCTTCTGAGTCCTCACAGGTGAGAGACACAGCTCGATGATCCGTCCTGTAATCGTAGGGGAGAGCCATGCCCAGCCCAGGAGCTCCGAGCGGGCCCACTACCTTGGCATTCTCGTGGCTTCCATGCCGCTGTCTTCCTAACCCAGGGCCATAGTCTTCAGGTTTGATGAGTGTGGCATGTGTGTGTTCCTCATTCAGCAGTGGCTTCCTCCCCCAGAGTCGTTTCTTCCTCGGTGGGACAGCAGGCTGCTTGATGAGGGTCTGTAACCCTACTCAGGGCAGTATGCTGCGTGAAGGGGTCACTCTCGTTTGGTGACTCTCTCCACAGGCACCTCGAATCCTGTGATAACTTCATGGGACAAACCACGCCGTGCCCTCTGCTCTTAACCTTCTCACTAATCCCGCTCAGAGAAGAGTTTGAATCCTCTAAATAAAGAACGTTGTAAATTGTTTCTTTCAGTTTCCTACCCACTTCACAACTCTGTTCTTCTAAATACACTGTGGGAGCTCATGAAAGCCCAGGCCCCCGGCTCTATTCTTCTAGCTTTTAAAAGCCACTGGGAGTTTATTTATTTATTTATTTATTTTTAAGATTTCATTTATTTATTTGACATACATAGTGAGAGAGAGAGCATAAGCGGGGGGAGTAGCCGGCCGAGGGAGAGGGAGAAGCAGGCTCCCCGTTGAGCAGGGAACCTGACTCAGGGCTTGATCCCAGGACCCTGGGATCATGACCCCAGCTGAAGGCAGACGCTTAACCAACTGAGCCACGCAGGCGCCCCTAGAAGCCACAGGGAGTTTCCACTCCTGAGTGGGACCAAGGAGTTTCCTCATGGATGTGTTTTCTGGCCTCAGACACATTTTCCGAACTCTGCTGTCGTGGGATTGGAGCGTTACCAGAGTCCTTGTTCTAGTGCCACATTGGCCTGCTCGTCTACACTTGTGTGTTTTAGCTCTGGTCCCGCTCCTTGGAAACCTAATCTTTGTCTCTGTCTCTGTCCCCGCAAACGTCACCAGCAGAACAAGCCGACAAGTGAGTCCGCGGTGAGCAGCACGGGAGACCTGATGCATAACAAGAGGTCCAAGATCAAGCCCGACGAAGACCTGCCCAGCCCAGGGCCGCGGGGCCCGCAGGTGAGGCACCGGGGCTCTGCCGCTGGCCTGTGGCTCCCTCCAAGCTGAGGTCTCTCACAGAATTTCCGTATCCACCGTGTTCTTGGCCTTGGCCATCCCCATGCACTTGGCAGGAGGCCAGTGATGGAGTCTGACTCCGTTTGATTCCCTAACTCAGAAACGCTGCAGGAAGCTGTTGGGGGGCGGGGGGAGATAAACTATAGCTCGTGGTGCAAGTGGTTGGATTAATTTGTTCCTGATCACTGATAGGGACCAAGCTTCAGTCCTGAGCCCTGGTCTTAGGCCCCGGAATACGAATTCCTGGCCCTAAGCCAGAGCTGGGCAGAGTTGATGATATTCCTTACACTGACCATGTTCTTATTTGTTCTCATTTTGCCTTTTCCCACTTACCAGGACGGAGGGATGGATCAAGGCACAACTAACCTAACTTAAGGCCAGTTAGATTCTGGTCCTTTCTTTACCCAGAGTCTTGAAAGTACGAGTTTTGAAGGTCCAATCTGGTCTCTTCTTTAAGGCATTTAGACCCTCTGAGTTTCCATTTTAAATGTGTTTATTATGCCTATAATATCATCTCCTAGGGTCCCTGTGCTTGACACAGGAAGGAGGTCAGTGAATATTAATTCCTGGAAATAGGGGTTGGACAGGAGTCTGGACATCCACAGAATCTGGACCTTTCTACATCCGGGCTGCTCCAGCCCCCAGCTCAGACTACCTACCTCCACCCAAATTTCCTTTCGAGTGAGCACTTTGAGGATGGAATGAATGGGTGTCGTAGGTTCTGAAATCCATCCTTTTCCTTGAATTTTCCTGGCCAACAACCTTGCTGGTTACACCTAAATGCTTGTATGTAGTTTTTGTCATCCTGCCCCAGATGAGATCCCAAATCTGTGCACCTAGTCATCTCTCAGAGTTCTGGAAATTGTTTGCATTTTCACTGCCGTGAAGCTGCCTCGGACAGTAGAAAAGACGCAGCTGCTAAGCTTTAGATGCTGTGGTTCTTGGGCAGCAAGCCGTATCCTCGGAGCTCAGAGGTTGAACCAGGAAGACATGATCCCTCTAAAACCCAGAAAGTGCCTGTCACAGCCTCCAAGGCAGGGGAAGGCAGAATTAGAATTACTGGTAAACCATTGCCCTGATTCCAAAATATGAGAATCAACAAATTAATACACGAAAAAGAATCTAACCGAAAGAGAAAGGCCAGTCTTTTGGGTAAAGACTGCATGACCTAATTTAATTGCTTCTTTCTTACGGGATGACATTTTAATTTCTTTTTCTCTCTCGTATTCAGGGGCAAAGTTTGGCCTCAATTTCTTATCATCATTATGGTTGGGACTGTTGTTTTTAATCCCACATTAACAATCTCTGAAGATATATTTGGTAAATCGGAAAACACGCACACAAATGATTCCATACGTTTGACTTCTTCTGTCCATAAAATCCAGCTGCTAGACCTGGGCTCTGTTTTCTTTCCCCTGAAAAATTGCCTCAGGATGAAGACCCATGCAATCAGGTTTTTTTCTTCTTTTTTTCTTTTCTCTTATCTGTCCTTCCATTGTGTCTGATCTTTTTTTCCCCTCTCTCCTCCCTCCCC